GTGTAAAGATCATGGTAGACTTCAAAAAGCATTTGAATACCCCCTTAAATAGGAGCAGAAACCAGGATTTGTCAGGCATCTAATGTGACTAAAGTAAATTTGAAAGAAACCGACTATGCCAAGGAATGAAAATTTTAGGTAATTCCAAAATTCATTATTATTTATGTTCTCCGTGAGATAAAAGATATATTCACAAAATAAGAACAAAGGCTATAAAAAGGAATGTCCAGGTGACTATTAAAAATAATTAAATTTTTAAAAATTCAATTTCATAGGATTAGACAATGAAATTCAGAGTATCTTCCAGAAAGTAAAGCAAAAAGCCAAAGAAATGTAAAGTAGGGGAGAAAAGATAATCAAATTAATGGAACAGGCAAGGAGTGCCAACATCCAAATAATAGAGATTCCAGGAAGAAAAACAGACCATATTAAAAAAATAAAGTAGGTAATAAATACAATTTCTCAAAATTGAGAGACACAAGTTTCTAGATTCAAAGAGTCTACTAACTGCCTAGAACAGTGAATGACAATAGGCTAACACCAAGGCCCAGCTCAGTGAAATTTCAGAATCGGGGGGTCAAAAAAGACCTGTGACTTTGAGAGAGAAAAATAGGTCATATATAAAGAATAAAAAATCAGAATGGTTTTCTACTTCTCAATAACTACACTAGAAACCAAAGTCAATGGAATAATGCTTTCAAATCATAAAGGAAAAATATTTCTAATCTGCAATTCTATATCCAGCCAAACTGTTCATTGAATTTGAAGGCAGAATAAAGACATTGTCAGGTACACAAATGGTCTCAAAAAAATGTGTCTTCTATTCACCCTTTTTGAGAACCCACTGAAGGATGACAGAGTAGTCTGTAAATCAAGGATGTAAAAGTATGGCAGAAAAGCAGAAGAATGAATTAATAAAGAGGAAGAGCCATGGCTCACATAGCTTGGTTGGGCAATATCCCATGCACAGAAAGGTTGCTGTGTTGATTCTGGTCAGGGTACCATGCCCTGGTTAAGGGGCTTGATCCCCAGTAGGGGGCATGCAGGAAGGAGCCAGCCAATGCATTATATTCTGCTCTGACATCATGTTTCTCTCTCGCTCACTCCCTCTCCCTTCTTCTCTCTCTCAAAAATCTATTTTAAAAATATTTTTAAAAGAAAGAAAGAAGACATGGATGATAGGAAATGGGAGACAGCACATAGGAGAGAATCAAAGGAATCCTTAATAATGATGAAGGAAAATCTTAGGATGACAGTTGTGCCTGAAGCATTGAGGGAAACTAGAACAGATCAGAATAGATTGGAAGGCCCCAGCATGAATTTCGTTAAGAAAGTGAAATTGATTGAATATGTTTATGCATATATTTAGAAGATTTAGACAATTGGCAGAAAGGTTGGGATTAAATTATCTTTAAATTCTTAGGAGCAAAATATAACAAACAAAAAAGAATAATTGTTCACTCCAGGGAAAATAATGTTATAGAAGAAAGAAAAGGTAATCCTAGTGTATTACAGTGTTCACCTAAATAATAGCAATTAAATAGTCATAATGTCAACATTGGATATTGATCTTACTAAACTTATAATGTAATTATATTGAAAGGATGGAAAGACAAGAATGTAAGAGTTTGTGATCATAGGGTTGAGAGTGTACTTAGCAATGAAAGAGAGCTAAGTCTTTATTTACCAAAATAGGAAATAGATATATAATGTTTAAACTAAAAAAAAAAATAATAAAAAAAATAAATCAGGAAATCAAGAGGTAATGATGTTTTAACATATAAAAGTAACATGAAGTAACTCACTATAGGGAATGGAAGGTAGAAATGTGATGTTTTTCATATCACACCTTAGAATTGTTTAAACTATGCTCATATATAAATTAGAATCAAATGAAAACTTAAAAAGAACAAAACAAAATGGACATTCTCATTACAGAGGTTTTGGAGGATGAGTAGGAGTTCTGTAAGCTAAGGGAATGGAGAAATGTTCTAGGTAGAGAGAACCAACCTGTCAATAAATAGGGTGGATATTAGCATGAAGGAAGCTTGAGGTGTGGGTTGTAGTTTCTCTTTGGTGTCTGTATGTTGTTTAGAATTTAAGATCTGGTCCTTTTGTTACTGATAAAATAACCTGTTTGATGATTATTCCAAAATAAGTGTTCTTTGTACTGATTTCAAAGGGAGGAAAATGAGCTGTCATTGAAATGATCTTTGCAGTAAAGTTGCTGAAAAGGCAATGTCATTTCCAGGTCCTTACCTGGACTTCAGAAGAGTCTTTTAACTACCTCTCCCAGCCTTGAGGAGTCCTTGCAAGACAATAAACTCCAAAGGAAAGGGGCACTTTGCCAAACATTTGGGAAATTTAGATGCTTACAGCATTCCAAAGCACCTAGGGCCAGAAAAAGGACTTAGCCAGCTAACTTTGTGCCATAGAAGCAAAAGGACATGTATGGGAGAGGTCAGGTGGTTAAGTGCTAGTTGTGGGTCTTTTGCTGACTGCTGTCTGCTGGAAAGCACATGGTGTGGTGTAAATCTGGAGTTGACTCCTGGCTGTATTCTCTTTGTGAATTCAACAAAGTCACCTAACCTCTTTCAGAGTAAGATAAGGATAATAATAATCACAGGGTGAGTATAGGTGTCAGGCTAAATTATGCATATGGGAATGTTTTGTAAATAGAAAACTCTTATTACAAATCTTGTTTCAATTAGTAAATTTCTTTACCTGTTGAGTTTGTCTCTGCAAATGTGCCTTCTTTCTTTGGTATATTTATCATTCACTCCAGGTAGCTTGCATATTAGTTAAGGTATAGGTTACGATACCATAACAGAGACACCCAAAATATAGCAGTTCAAACAAGATAGAAATTTGTTTCTCTCTCATATAGCAGTCTAGAATTGTGCTATCCAATGTGGTACATGTGACTACTTACATTTACATCAGTTAAGTTTAAATAAAATACCTCAGTTACACTGACCACATTTCAAGTAGCCACTTGACTAGATGCTATTGTATTGACCAGCACATATATTATAGAAGATTTCCATCACACAGGAAGTTCTGTTGAGCAGCCCTGATCTAGGGGAGCGGTCCAGAGCTTGAAAGGTGGCTCTGCCGTACAAGGTCATCCATGGACCCGAGTTCCTTAAATAGTATTGCTCTGTTATTCTCTAGGTGAGACTTCAGAATGTTGTTTTTTGTGCCATAAATCCCTTTGGCAATCTGACAAAGTCTATATACCACTTCACAAAGTAATATTGTTAAATGTGTAAGATAAAATATATCAGGAATTACAAAGTAAATTATGTTGAATATCATTGTCAAAATATTTAAAACAATAAACACCATTATATAGTAATATGTGCTTTATTAATCCATTAAATAATGATCTATTCTAATGGCTAGTCTAATGGCTACTGTACTTTCAAAGTAGTGATGACTAATGTGATATTTTAAGATATCCATAACAAGTATAATATGATGTGAAAAATAAGTGATTTCAGTTGGTGACGGAGTCATGGGTACTGCAAGTAGCATCATATAGACAGAGGATAGTGAAAATAAAGTTTTATATTTTTCCCATCCAAGTTTATAGACCAATGATTTTATTTATGGACCCTAGGGGGCCTGTGGACTCCAGGGTTAAGAAGCCCTGCTGGATGTTGTAAAAGCTGGCTGGGCAATGGCAAATCCACATTCCAGAATGTAAGGAGAAAGGAGAGGAAGAGGAGAGCAAATGATTTCCCTTTTAAAGGACATGACGGGGCAGTTACTCACATCTCATTGGCCAGCAGTTAGTCACATGTCCACCTGTAATATAAGGCAGGCTGGGAAATGTAGTGTGCAGGGCAGCTCTGTACCTTGCTAGTGGAAAAGTGGGATGCATTCTATTAGAAAAAGGAAGAAATATAGAATGGACATAAGGATAAGTATTCTGCCTCGGCTTGATTCATCACTATGGGACTGAAACAAAAAATATTCAAAAATGTGCTTAGAAGTAACAAGTCAGAAAAGGCAGGAAGAGTTTCACTCTTTCTAGCAGTGGACAGGCCGCCAAAGTGTTACCAGTGACTGAGGCACTATCCAGTGTCTAAGGCATATAAAATATTTTTAGTTACTATTCCCCAGTTCTGTGAATATGCCTGAAGTCACTGGCAACATCGTTAACACAGGACATTTTCCACAGTGTCAGAAGTGTGTGTGTGCTTTGTTTAAAGCAAACCCAGTATGCTATGATCTGTGCTTACAAAACTAGTAACAAATGAGGTGTCTGCCCCTGTCACTGATGGCCAGTATTCTGTGTGCAAAAGAGCTTAAAGTATAATAGTAGGAAGCAGGCTTTTCCCCAACAAACAGATCCCTTGAGCAAATGACCTTTAAAGTTTAAAATAACAACCCCTGGGTTTGTCTTTAACTTTTTCGGAGAGCTCTAAGTACCTTAATTCTTCTTATTTTATTAAAGCTCCCAAATCATGGGATTCTTTTTTCTTTCTTTTTTTTCAGGTTAGTTAAATAAATAGCAATTATGACACAGTCCCACATGACCAGCAGCGTTTAGCCTTTAAACGGAGCGTTTGAAAAGGCACGCTTAGAGGCCAACTTGGTCGGCTTCTGCTGGACAGCGTGAGGCAGAGCTGTTCCAAGCCCAAATAGCACTTAAAGGGCCAGATGGTCCCTCATGTCCTGCCGCCGCCACAGCCCTCATCGCCACCAAGTAGGATGTTTTTCCGATACAGTGATCAGTGTCCTAAATTGTGAGCTCTCAAGGGTCAGGCAGTGGGGTCTTCGTACCCCACAAAGCCTGGTGCCATTCCTTATACTGTACCTCACAGGTGCACTAGACATGTTTGCTGTCAGACAATTTCTATTTTATAAGCATTTGTAATAGCCTTTTAAGTAAGTGTGATTTTAAAGTCTACTGAATGAAGGCTGGCTTTTTTTAAGCCTTAGGGTCACCATTGTTTTATTTTGTTTGTATTTTTTGGCCACCCCTCCCCCAGTCCATCTCTAGTTTTAAAATGTGATTCACTAGGAAAATATGACTCCATTAATTGAGTTCATTTTAGAGCCAACTTTTCAGGAACCTATCTATTTCTGTAAAGTGAGATCCACTTGCAAGTGTACCATTTGGTGCCAGCACTCAGATTTTCCCTGACTCGGTTGTTCCAGTGGTGTTTGAAATATCTCCCCATAAATCAGGCAGCCAGTGCCCCATGCTCGTAAGGATTATTTACTGGGTCTTGTGATTCAGTCCAGGATCCTGATAGTGATCTTGGACAGTTGATATAAATAGGCTAGGATTTGCCAATGGCTATTTTTATAAGGGAAGCTTTCTAAGTTGATTTCTTTGAACCCAGAATGACTTCCTCCCTCTGGCTTCCCCTGCTTTCCTCCACCAGTGGAGAGTTCCTCTCTTCATTCTTCCTGCCTGCCTCTCCCCCTCCCCCAACCAGCTGGTGTCTGCAGCAATCAGAAGGAAGATACGTGCCTGAAACAGAGTTGCTTGAAATTATATATCTCCAGCCCCTTTCAGGATCATCTTCCTTTCATCCGGCCCGAGAATGGCACCTTCCCCGCCCATCAGGCCACAGGATCTCTGGGACCGGCTACCTTGTCTGAAATAGATATTCACCAGCTCTCAAGCAGAACAATTCCCTACATTCATACCTGAATGCATATTTTACAATATTACCCCTCGTTTGTCTGTAGATTTGCTCCTGCCCCGAGTTAAAAAATAAATAAATAAATAAATAAATAAATCCTAAGTAGAGTTAATGGCTAATGAACCCTAACCGTAGAGTTATTGTCTCCTTTGAGGTCCCCTACTCTTTTCCCTAACCCCAACCCTGCTTGTGCCCAGCCTCTAATTAATTGTCAGAAGAAGGGAAAAGAGAAAATAGACACTTAGCACACCCGCCCCAAGTGGAAATAGACACGGGTGCCTGGTCAGACCTTGGCCCTGGGTGGCTGGACTCTTTTTTATCCTTGTGGGATGTCAGGCTCCTCCTGTCTCCCCATCCCCCCCCCCCCTCACTCCCCCGCAGTAAGTGTGCGTCAGCCAGGAAAAGCTTGCCTTGGAGCACAGCCTTTTCTTTGCATCCTTTTCCCATGTTTTCATGCTGAAAACAGCACATTCTCAACATGAAACAAAAATTGATTCTGCTGTCTTTTCACTCTGTGTTTTTGACCACGCTGTTCTTGGCAGTCGAACTTCCAGGGTTGGGGATAGAATCGATAGCTTAAAGTGTACATGTTAAATTGGTCAGCAGTAATGCCATTTGGAGTCTTGGCTGCCCTGTATAATTTACTAGCATCTGTGGCTTCTCCCACCCAGTGGCCTTGAGTGTCTCCTTAACTTTATAATTGGCTTCCCTCTTGGAGCTTCCCCGTCCTTCCACCCCCGAACTGGCCCTGCGTGCTGGAGCCTTTCTCAATTCCTGGGCCAAATGCTGGAAGTAAGAGAGACTGTTTTCAGTCTCTGAGTTCTACCCTGCGTCAAGGGCCTCAGAGCCTAGCGCTGAGGTCTGGCCAATGGGACCACAAAACCAGGTCTCCAATTATGTCCATCCATGCTCTGAGTTTTAGTTCTACCTTTACATGTGATGAACATTCCATCTTTGAATAACTGAAGATCAAATGAAATAATGTGTTAATACCCGAAATGCTTTATGAAAGGTAGAGAGTATAACAACATCAGAAATAAAAACAGTAGCTATTATTTTCTGAGAATCTACATACTCAAGATATGGAATCTATTATACATACTCAAGATATGCTTTATGGGAACTATCTCCCTTAATCCTGACAACTACTTGTTAAAAGTATTAGTATGCCCATTTCATAGATAGGAAAGGGAGTCTCAAAAAAGTAAAGTTATTGGTCAAGATTGCACACCTAAGGAAAACAGTAGAGTTAAATTTGAGTCTGGCCAGTGTGACGTTAGGGCCCAGGCTCTCATCTATTGAGCAAAATATTTTTCTTCCAATTTCCAGATTTCTAAGAGAAACAGCGTTATCTTTGAAGATGTGCGTTAGTTGTTCATTTCCTTGGGATACCTGGGATTCCTTTCATTTTCAGATCAGCAAGCAGTTTCCTGTGCTCAGGGGTTATTCCCTTCTGCAAAAGGAACTTTGACTTTTCTCAGTGAAAGGATATGTGAGATGTGACTGCCTCTTCCAGAAAATGCACCCACTCTTGTCACCCATGCTGAGCGCCCTACTGCACTGACTGTAGGTTAACCAACTCAACCATGACTCTGTTGTGTAGTCTACTAGCTGTCAGGTTGACTAAGGCTCCGAAAGTGCCTATTTCGGTTTCTGTAGTTGACAGTAGATTGAATGGAGCATGAAGAAACGCTCTGCTTTTAGGAGCCTTTGGGCAGATATGAGTCCATCCAGCCCCTGGCAAAGCACATAGACAGCCACAAGGAGAATTAGAGACAAAAGGCTTGGTTCCTGTGTAGAGCCATGATCCTGTGGGAAAGATAGGACACGCACCATGAGTAATTATTGTGTGTATATTTGGCAGTATGAGATTAAGTGCATCAATAAAGAGAATTTAGAGAAGGCCAGGGGTTAATGGGGCTTTGTGGAAGCCTTCATGAAAGAGAATTAAATCTGGGCACTGGGATAAGTATGTGTATATGTGTGTGTCCTCACCTAAAGATAGCTTTTTTTTTTTAAATTGATTTTAGAGAGGAAGGGCGGGGGGAGGGGGGAGAGAGAGAAAGTGCCATCAATCAATTGCCTCCTATAGACATCTTGACCAGGGATCAAACCCACAACCTAGATATGTGCCCTAACCAAAAATCAAACCCAAAACTTTTTGGTACATGGGATGACACTCCTACCAACTGGAGCCATCTGGCGAGGGCTGGGCTCTGATATATATATATCTGCAGAATAGTGATAAGAGACTAAAACTATAAATAAGAGAAACAGCCAAGTGTATCTGGTCAAGGTTTTGAAAAGCTTTGCTCTTGAGAGGGTCTGATATAAATTGAATTTTAGTCTTAATTCAAGGAAAGGACTCATGACAAAACTTGCCACTTTTCAGAGTGTTCATGTCTTAACCGAGAAATGATGCAATTCTATTCAACATGTCTTAACTATTCGGTGACAAGACATTGTCCCAGGGGAAGTGCAGAAATTGAAAGTGATGGAGATGGTGGTGGTGGTTACACAGACATATCTCTGGGTTAAAACTCATAAAATTATTTACCAAAAAGGTAGTTTTTCTACCATGTGTAAATTTTTAAATAATTTTTTAAAGTGTGAATCCTTCCCCCTCAAAGACCTTACAGTTTAATGAGAGAAAAGATAGTAAATGCTTGCATAGCTGTTCTATGCCACAAGAGAACAAAAGAATGCTGTGAGAGCTTAAAGACACTGCTGGCCACAGGAAACCTACACCATCCTGACAGGTGGAGTGTGGAATGGCCAGAATAAAGTCATGGGAGCAGGAGGTACGTTTTGGGAATAGCTTACATTCCCTTGTGTTTGTTATAACGAAGGACATAATTCTAAGCCGATGTTTGTTGAGCACCAGATCTGCACCAACAACTGTATTAGGCACTGGGGACGCTGAGATAATCTCTACCTCCATCCCCATCTGACTAGCGAAGATATATAGATGGCAGTAACCATATGAAAAGATGCTCCAGATCATCTGTCATCAAGGAATTGCAAATTAAAGCAGCAGTGAGATACCACTACATGCCTATTGGGAAAGCCCAGATCTGAAACATTGACAGTATCAAATGCTGACGTGAACAACGGGAAAACTCGCGTTCATTGCTGGTCGGGATGCAAAATGATAGACACTTTAGAAGACAGCTTAATGGTTTCTTATAAAACTAAACATATTCTCATCATTCATCCAGCAGTCATGCTCCTTGTTGTTTACCCAAGTGAGTTGAAAAATTATATGCACACAAGACCTGCATGCAGATATTTATAGCAATTTTATTCGTAATTGCCAAAATTTGGAAGCACCAAGATGTCCTTTAGTGAGTGAATGGATAAACAAACTGTGATAGGTCCAGACAATGAAATATTATTCAGTGCTAAAAAGAAATGAGTTATCAAACCATGAAAAGACAGAGGAAACCTAAGTGCATTTTACTAAGTGGGAGAAGCCAGTCTAAGGATACTCACTGTACGATTCCAATTATATGACATTCTGGAAAATGCAAAACAGTGGCGGCAGTAAAAGATCAGAGGTTGCGAGGGACTGTAGGTAGGGAGGGATAAGTAGGTAAAGCACAGAGGATTTATGGAGAGAAAAAAGGCTTTGTTTCCTGTCCTTAAAAATATCTGTCTAGCTGGGAAGACAGATAAATAGCATAGTTGGAGATAAAGAAAGTACAAATTCTGTCTCTGTGCCCAGAGGAAACCAGAGGAGGGACCTAGCCCTGGGGAGCTTCACTAGTGGCTTTCTAGAACATGTACGTCTAAGGTATGCCTGGAAAGAGCTGCACATAGAAAGGGAGAAGAATATTCCAGGCCACAGAAAAAGCACAGGAAAGGCCTAGAGGTAAGAGAGAGAGGAATAGAAACCATCTGTGACTTGAGAGCAGTTCAGCAGAGCTGGTAGGGTCCGGCAGCCAGGGTGAGGCACAGATGGGCTGGGTCAGCTACACAAGGACCTGGAGACTTTGTGTTGAGAGCCATAGGCAGGACCAGAGGGTTTGAGCAGGGTGACATGATCAGATTTCTGCTTCAGAAAGATGACCAGAGGATAGAGAACAAATTAGAGATGATAGGCTGGCTCTAGGAAGACAGTACCTTGGCTAAGCAGGCTAGAAAGAAGTTGATGAATTGAGAGGCTAGAATCTACAGGTCTCTGTGATTGATTGGTTGGTGGGGGAGGGAGATGAAGGGGACTTTGAGGCTCTTTAGGTTCTGGCTCTGGTTCAGACAGCTAGCAAAGATAGGGGCTTTAACAAAGAGGACGAGAAGCCTTGAGAGTAAGACAGGGCATAAAGCTGGAAAGGTTGATTAAACCGTGCTGTGCAAGTACTGAATGCCAAGGTAAAGACTTTGTATTGAAAGCCCATGGCAGGAATGATCTTGTTGTAAATCATTGTTTGTTACTGCTCTTCTTTGATGCATCGACTTTGGCCAGAACGAGGGATATAGATGGACATCTGGGAATTGTTAGTTTCTAGAACCAGCATGTCAAACTCAAAGGCTAATACTGGCCAAATAAGGCATACAGCCCATGGACCGTGAGTTTGACATGCTTGTTCTAGAATAAACATATGACAGTCTCTGCATTCCCAAAGTGGCCTATTACCCTAACTGACAATTGGGGACTTGGCTGAAGCATGGAGAAAAGCTTGATATGAGCCTCAAAGATAATGTAGTTAATTAAAAGAGAACAGCTTGTATTGAGTTTTAACAGTTCTTTGTTAAAGATTTGATTTTAAATAAGTAACATGAACAACCTTAATCTCTCTCAGTTTTCTCATCTGGTAAATGAAGGAAAAAGACCTCTTAATTTCAAATGTCTTCTCAAGCTCTGAAATACTAACCTAATAAAAGTTTTCATCAAGATTAGAAAATAACAGCAATAAGATTAGAAAACAACAACT